GGGCTGGGTGCAGATGTCAGGGGGGTGTGGCAAAAGCCCTTACACCCCCACTGTCCCAGCTTGGGAACCTGGGGCCCTTCTTGCTGTGGCTTGGTAGTCATTGCTGGGCTGTTTGCATGTGCTGGGGGGGGCGTGGCCAAGGCCCTTGGCCCCCATAACCCCAGCTCGAGAGAGCCTGGGGCACTTCCTGTGGTGGCTTGGTGGTCACTGCTGGAATGGCTGTGGGTGTCCAGGGTGTGTGACTGGGACCCTTGGCCCCCCCACCACCCCAGGTCAGGAGAGTCCAGGACACTTCCTGCGGCAGCTCAGTGGTTGCTGCTGGGCTGGCTGCAGGTGTCAGAGGGTGTGGCCAAGGCCCTCAGCCCCCTACCTGGGCAGTTTTTATTGCTGATATGTAAGGTCTCCTTAAAATTAGAAATATAAATCCTTTGCAATATTTGTTTTAGATATTTTCCAAGCTTACTAACATTTCAATAAATGACTCTAAATTAATTTACTCAAGAGATTCTTGGCTTTTCTTGAAGTTCCTCCAGAAAACCACCTCTAAGCATGGCTTGATTTCCTTATCTAGAGTAAAACATACTGGACACTTTTTCCAATGTTCCATTTATGAGACATTTAGTTTCCTATACCTCAAATAGTAAAAAAAAGAAAAAGAAATTATATTGGTGGCAGAGAATTAGTCAATATCATGTGTAGAAGACAATTACCAGAAGAAACAGAGATTTGGTGTGGTGTCCACTCCTTCTCTTCCTTACTAAGAGAACCTGTGTGGCCATGTGCACAGCCAGTAACTTTCCTGGTCTCCTATGCAGGTAGAGGTAGCCATGTGACACCTTCTCCCTGTTTTGAATGTAAAAATGATGTCTGGAGCTGCAACAACTATTCTGTGACCAAGAGGCAACAAACATGAGAAGGCAGAGTAGAAAGACTCAAAGAGCTGCTGACATCATTGATCAGCTAAGCCAGTACCAGCAATGGCAGACTTCTGAATTTTGTTAGGTGAGAAAAATAAACCTGTCTTAGTTGAAGTCATTGTTAGTCCAGTTTTCTATTACTTGCAACTGAAAGCAATCCCAACTGACACCCTTTTCCTTACTGATAATGTTGAATTTTACTTGAACCCTGTGATCCTGAAAAACAATGAAGGTTAAGAAATCCCTCCACCCTTTGTGTTCCATAAAACAGCTCACTGACAAGAAACCGCTTCCCCATGAGATGTAGATAGACTCACGGATGCCCCCTTGTCTGCCTATGACAAGGCCTGACACAGAGCCTCCACATCCCCTTTCTTTGCCTCATCAATGATTAGCTGAGCTGCCTGTCTCCACTGACCAACTGAAACAAAATGCTTGTTAACCAAACTGGTTGAGCTTTCCTCCTTCCTCCAGGCCCCTAAATGTTGGCGCACCCTCAGCCTGAGCCAGCAGACAGCCCCTCTGGAGAACAGGCTGCCTCAGAGTACAGCATTTCCTGTGCTACTTCCCCATCATGCCACCCTTTGATCCCACTTCCCCGTGCTTCTTTCTAACCATGTTTACCGCTCCCTAAAAGAGAAAAAACTCATTTGCCTA